GAAGAAGAAGAAGAAGAAGAACAAGAAGACGAAGAAGAAGAAGAAGAAGAAGAAGAAGAAGAAGAAGAGGAAGAAAAAGAAGAAGAAAATAACCAAAGCTTACAGAAAACAATGTTTTTTTTATCTACAGGTTAAGGTGACCATACCAGCAGAGCTGTCACACACGTTCACGCAAGTGGACAGCTTTGCGCCAAGCGAAGTTTTGACAAAAACCTTACTGGCGGAACAAGCTTGGCAGATCCAGAGAGATATCGATTTGACAGGTACGTGCTGTTCATGTCTAGCGGGTAGTAGTTCAGGTTCGAGTCCCTCCAAAACACTGTGCGTGATGATTTTGACAGCCATGGCATTCGAACAAACTAACAAACATTACAATAATTCCTCACTTAATGGAGAATTGGTTTTCAATGCTGTTGTTTTCTTCATGATGAGTCATTGATTATTTGCTACTGACTCCCATAAGCATTTAATTTATTGCAGTACATAAGACAGCAGAATGTCGTGGTTGCACTTAGGGCATCATCGCTAAATCTCCCAAGGCATACATGCAACTAGTCTGGTTGAGGGGTGGGCATGGTGATTTGTCTTATTACGGACCAAGATGCTACAATCTCTTGGGTCATCCCATAATACTTTTATCTAATCTCTGGTTATGGTTAGTTATAATATTTGTGAGGCAGCGTGGTGGAATCAGTCTCTCGTCAATTTTTGGGCATGCATAGTCATTGGTATCATCTTAAAGTTTGTGCACTTGTCTTTATTTGGATGAAAAAAAATATCCATTTATCTTGAATACAAGTCGAGATATTTGCGAATGAAGGAGGTGGGGTCACCTGTTTTCAGAGGTAAAATTAGTGAGAAAATGGCCGCCAAAGATGAGTTATTTCCTTAGCTTAAGAGTGCGTGGTAACTGAAAATTTACAGATTTTGTGCCTCTAATCAACGTTTTTAAGAAATATCAACACAGAAATGAGTTTTTTAATCGGCATGAAAGGTGTTGAGACAATTTTTTAAAATTGATAAAAATTCACAAACCTGCGGAAAAATGCAAGTTTCTTCACTTTGATTATTTTGACGAGAGCCTGATTCCACCACGCTGCCTCACATTTCTAACTTGTGGTTTTGTATGTAAGAAAAACACAAACACAAACAATAAACCAACAAACCATTGTTAATTCTTAGGAGCAGTATTATTAGCATCTTACTTACAGTAAACATACTCTAAATGAATACACGTACAGGTCAGTCTATTGAGTCTAGCAAGCACAATGCGAAAAAAAATGCTCATACTCGGGAGGTATTCAGATCCCGACCGAATTTTTTCTTTCTTTCTTTTTTTTTACATTCTTAATTTCATAAACACACATAATGATCATAGTAAATAATTCGTACTTAGCGAAAACAGAAATGGTATCGGCGAGCGAGGGAATTGAATTGCTTTACTCAGCAATTTCACTTAGAAGTTACTTTGCAGAACTCAGATAAGCTGTTGCGTTGTGTGTAATATCTGAGTGGAAGCTGACTCATGGTGGTGAACGCACGCGCTATCCATGTGACCGCATACTCTCGACACGCAGGGCCGTCAAGAGCCTGGTCGGGCTCTGGGGCAGCAATCACCTTCTGGCCCCTCCTCCCTCGGCCTCACCTGCAATTTAATAACCCAACAAATACAATGTACATAGGCATATATAATCACTTTACTGTAGCATATCTATTACATAATATGAACATACGCTCTCTCTCTCTCTCTCTCTCTCTCTCTCTCTCTGTAAAAATCACTTTAGCGTGACTTTCTATGATGTTGTATCTATCGCTCGCACTGTCTAATTCCATTAAATTTTCCCCTTGCTTGCGGGCCCCCCAAACCCCCGGGCCCCGGGGCATTGGCCCCACTGACCCTCCCCCCCCCCCTCTCGACAGGCCTGTCGACACGCAAACGGCTCCAACTATCAACTTTCAACCCTAATCTTAGCTAATATTTTTTCACTGTAAGTAAGCCACCCAACATCTTGTAGCTCAATAAAAAGCAAATTATATCGTTTCTTTCTTGTATATATTTCTTTTGTATCTTTGAACAACTGGTTGCATTTAAGTCACATAATGTTGCTTTGACAAAACCAATGTTACTCCAGTGTGTCTCCTATTAACAAACTAAAAAATTGTAAATCATTCTGCCTTATCCAGACAAGTGACCATCTCACATAATGTATACCAATATAACGTCATTATAGCTGTTATAACATCATATAAACACATAATTAATGACAGAAAATACATCCTGGCACTTGGCTGAACTGTGCACATCAGCTAAAAAAACACAAGGAAACAATCGTTCTGATACACTGGTGTAACAAACACATGTATGGTTGGATGCAACAAAAGCTAACAACTGGTTGCACTGAGGGATACATCGTTTACTACTGTAGAAATCTTCCTTTGGTAACTGTAAGGCGTTTATGAGCAACCACACCAACAAGTGGTTGCAGTAGGGCACTTTACTCTAAACTAAAAGTTTTTTAAAAACCCAAGAAAACTCAAGAAAACTAAAACGAACATTTCAGTAAAGTTTTGCCTTTCCTTATTTTTTAAAAACCCAGGAACAAGCATCGAGGCAACTGTACCTGTTGGCTTACTTACTGGGGCGGCTACCGCCTACGTAGGCGCTGGAATAAGTAAAGGAGGTTTCATGGAGCATGTGCCTCCATTTACGCAGTGCGGGACCGAGTTTATCGTTTTTCTTACGCCAAACAGGTGAGTGAGAGGCAATCACTGACATAAATAATACACAATTACTAAATATCCTAGACCAGGAACTGTCTTGGCCACCGCTCCTTGTTTTGTCCCAAAAAAAAGAAAACAAAATGCTTTTCTGGTGAGCACAACATTCGCCCAAATGAATGAAATAACAACAGCAAGTAGAAAGGAATTGTTTAACAGTTTCTCTCCTTGTTACAAAAATATTATTTGTTACCACCCTGTTTTTGTTTAGTGAGACACATTTTCATTGTTGCTGTTTATGCTATGTAGCCTATACTTATAATGTTCTAATTGGGGAAACAAATTGGCTCCCGTTCTCAAGCCTATGACGTAACTCAAGTCATTTGTGAGGCAGCGTGGTGTAATCAGGCTCTCGTCAATTTTTGGGCATATTGAGTTATTGGTATCATCTTAAAGCTTGTTATATGCTTGTCTTGCTTTCAATGAAAAAAATACCCTTCCATCTTCAATAGAAGTGGAGATATTTTGGATTGAAGGAGGTGGGGGTCACCTGATTTCAGAGATAAAATTAGTGAGAAAATAGCCGCCAAAGCTTGGTAAACTCCAAAGCTGGAGAGTGCATGGAAACTGTAAATTTATATTTTTTGTGGCTTTAATCAACGTTTTCGGTGCAATCCTCAAAGGAATGTGTTTGTGAATGGACAGAAAAGGTGTTGAGGCAAAAAACAAAAATTTGATTAAAATTGCTAAGCAGGGAGAAAACTGCTGTTTTCTTCGATTTCATTATTTTGACAAGAGCCTGATTCCACCACGCTGCCTCACATTTGACGACAGACTGGGGATTGGAATTTGGTTTGTATTTCATAAGTAGGTATCGATGATGATGGTACCTAGTAGACCAAGTCTGCTAGTGACGTCTGATCCCACCCGCGTCACGATACGAATAAGCTACTAGTTGGTAACTTGGTTAGAAAATAGGTATCATTGCAGGCGGTACAATGCCACAGCGCTACTCCTGCCTCCCCATTATCCATGAAAAAGTTGGATTGCGCATTGTGTCAATTATGAGCTAGTTGGATATTCTTCTCGCTTTTTCCACGCAGTTTCTTGCGTCTCTCTTGAGACAGGAATAAGCTAAAACGTAGTAAAAGTTTGCTTGAGCCCCATTCTTTTTTCAGTTAGAAGCTTCTTTCTCGCAGGACGTCACGGAAAGGGGAGACCCTAACTTTACGTAAAATGTCAAGTAAACTCCCAGTGGAGAGCTCAATTATTTGTCTTTTATCAAAGTCCAGCATGATACTAACTACAGCAATCGTGCTGTCTGTTTCCGTCCACAGAGACAGTATAGGGGACACAGTGCGTGTGGTAGCCCCCTATCACAGCACAAAAATACACGCTATACTGTCGAATGAGAGTATAAGGTTCCAGCTCAACTCGGGTCAATACATGAGCAGGTAACGTGTGATAATTTAGTTATTGTCAGTAGCTTATTGTTCCTTGTTTCTTTTCCATACTTTCGTCGAACATTTTAAAAATACAGGCTTTGAGCGTCTTGGTCGCTCTAGGAAAAACAATTTAAAAGGTAAAAGAAGCAGAGGTAGAATAACAATAACTTATGTTGAGAAGTTGAATGGATATGTAACGGGAAAAGACCGGAATACATAGATTTTTTTGAGAGTGTCCACCCGAGTTGAGACATGAACGTCGAACCACGATCAATGGTGTTTGTTTCAGATCTAAAGAAGAAGAAGAAGAAGAAGAAGAAGAAGAAGAAGAAGAAGAAGAAGAAGAAAAAAAGAAGAAGGAAGAAGAAGTGTGAAGTTTTCTCTCTTTTAGTTATCTGCAACCGTTCAAAAAAGGAATTAAGAATAATATTAAAAAGCGTTACTGTTAAATCTCTTTAAACCGCAAGATAATATTATATTTTCGGGCTAATGTTGTAACACTTTTGCCTCCTGAAGTTCATTGCTTCTTTTCTTTTTTTTTTTCGTGTGTTTGGAATTTTCTGAAAGGTAAGAGGGGGGGGGGGTCGCTTGGGCACACAAGGGTTTGTCATTTTTAACTGTACTTTTCAACCATTTATAAGGCCTTTTCAGCGGTGAAAAGTGAAAATCTGATAGCAGGCCCTTTGCTAAATAATCAATTCAAAGTCGATCAGCAGCTAACAATGGAGTGGAAAGGTCAATAGGGCGCGATCAATTCGTGAAAGAGTCGGTGCTTCAGTGAATAAAGCTGATCGAACTCTGTCTATAAAACTTCAACTCCACTAATGCCAAGCTTTGGCAACCTTTTAGCAACTCCTGACCGCAGCAGAAACGACTAAAAAGCTTAATAATTAATTTGGCATACACGAAGTTCTAATTAAGGTGCGTCATGCTGTCAATAATTCACAAGGTACCTAACTGAATCCTAGATTGTGAGCCGAGTTATATCTGTTCCCTGTGTTTGTCTTCTGACCCAGCACACAAAAACACTCAAAATGTCTTCTTCTTCTTAAAGCCTTCTTAAACAGTCTCTACCCCCCCCCCCCTCTCTTTCTCTCTGTGTGTCTCTCTCTGTGTGTCTCTCTCTCTGTCTCTCTGTCTCTGTCTCTGTCTCTGTCTCTGTCTCTCTCTCTCTCTCTGTCTCTCTGTCTCTCTCTGTCTCTCTCTCTCTCTCTCTCTCTCTCTCTCTCTCTCTCTCTCTCTCTCTTCCCTTTCTCTTTTGTGCTCTCTATCTCTCATTTTTTTTCTCGCAAAGCCACCTGCTTAACTGCCTATATCAAACAAAAGCGGGTATCCTGCTATCCTGCACCTACTTCTTTGATCGGGTGTATCAGAGCATTAACTTTTTCTAATCTTATTTTTTTTTATTCCCTTAGGATCATAGACGAACCATTCATCCACATCACGTCCAATCGCCCCATCATCGTGGTTAAATTTTCCAGTAATCCAGGATATCCAACAATGACATATATCAGCCCAACAGCTCTCTATTCAAATGCCCCCAAAATATTTGTTCCTTACGTGAGTATTTATTATTTATTGACTTAGTGAACTGTAAAAAAATCCCAGTGATGGTATTTGTTGATTGCTACTAGTCCTTATATGTTTAAGTTGGTCTTTACTCTTGTGTCCGCGGTATGAAGAAGAAAAGACGCAAAAATGTTTTGTCATCTTTTTGCTTCTTCCGTGTACTTATTTTCTGGCTTATGTACTGATTTTTTTATTTATCGGTTGTCTTTGTATGTGTGTGTGTGTATGTGTGTGTGTGTGTGTGTGTGTGTGTGTGTGTGTGTGTGTGTGTGCGCGTGTGCGTGTGTGTGTGTGTGTGTGTTCGTCCATTAGAGAGAGAGAGAGAGAGAGAAGAGAGAGAGAGAGAGAGAGAGAGAGAGAGAGAGAGAGAGAAAGAGAGAGAGAGAGAGAGAGAGAGAGAGAGAGAGAGAGAGAGAGAGAGAGAGAGAGAGAGAGAGAGAGAACGGAAATGTTTTTCAATCTGTGTAGAATTAATGTTTTAATGAATGTTTCTAAGAGTGTAAGGCAATGCAGAACTGTCGCAGATGACATCATTATTAATATCTATCAAATAACGAAGAAAAAGGTAAACTTGCTAGTACCTATTCAGAAAGGCTTCTCCTGAATCAAGGGACTTATATGTTAGGCAGCGCAGTGGAATCAGGCTCTCGTCAAAATAATCAAAGTGAAGAAACCTTCATTTTTCCGCATGTTTGTGAATTTTTATCAAATTTTTGGTTTTTGACTCAACACTTTTCATGCCCATTAAAGAACACTTTTCTGTGTGAATTTTTCCTAAAAACATAGATTAAAGGTTCAAAAAATGTAAATTTTCAGTTACCATGGACTTTTAAGCTAAGGAAATAACTAATCTTTGACGGCCATTTTCTCACTAATTTTACCTCTGAAAACAGGTGACCCCCACCTCCTTCATTCACAAGTATCTCGACTTGTATTCAAGATAAATGAATACTTTTTTCATCCAAATAAAGACAAGTGAACAAGCTTTAAGATGATACCAATAACTCTAAATGCCCAAATTTGACGA